TTGATAATAGATTAATTTTTAGACTCCTAAAAGAATATTGAATGCAGTTAATACCTCTTTTGTTATAAATAAGGTTGCGAACTCCTAAGGGGGAAAAAATTCTTCATTATGTATTTAGTAAAAATGAAGTAGATAGTCCCTGACCTACCTTTAATTTTAAAATGTTGAAACTTGTGCTTTATTTTCTTCAATAGCCTATGTTATTAAAAGATACTTTTCTGGCCAATTTTGCTGCTGGTTGGGATGTCGATGAAAATTTAGTCTTATGTCTACTTTATTTCCTCCGGTGTACTTTTTTATTTTTCGAGTACGTTTTTATTGATCTCAGAGAGGAAGGGAGAGGGAGAGAGAGAGAGAAACATCAATGATGAGAGAGAATCATGGATCGGCTGCCTCCTGCACGCCCCACACCAGGGATCGAACCATGACCTCCTGGTTCGTAAGTCAGCGCTCAGCCACTGAGCCATGCTGGCGGTGGGCCTTCCCGTCTGCTTTTAAACAGACTAGAATTGGCACATGTGAACTAAAAAAAAATAAAAGTAAAACCTCAAAAATGTACTCAAACACCAAAAATAGAGAAAATCCTTTGAAAATGCCCAGCCTAACATTTTTGGAATTTATACTTGCAGACCCTGAATGGTAATAGAATTTATTTAAAACTCTCCTGTGATTCAGACGGTTGGCATTTAAACTTGGACGCTCGTTCGGCATGAGAGAGCGACTAAAGCCGTGACGGCGGACCTTTTGAGCTCGGCGTGTCAGCATTTTGAAAAACCCTAACTTAACTCTGGTGCCGTGTCACAAATAGGAATTTTTTGATCTTTGCAACCATAGTAAAACAAAGACTTCTATTTTTGATATTTATTTCATATATTTAAATGCCATTTAACCAAGAAAAATCAACCCAAAAAATGAGTTCACGTGTCACCTCTGACACACGTGTCATAGGTTCGCCATCACTGGACTAAAGTGTTGGGGATCTGATGGGAAGGAAGACACTGGGCTATAGCTAGTCCTGGGCTAATTCACCAGCTGCTTGACAGCCTGGCGTGCAGCGTGTCCGTTGCTGAGTCTCGTGTCGCTCGTAGGTGCTGTACCAGGTGGAAGGATTTGTGGACAAAAACAATGACCTCCTCTACCGAGACCTGTCCCAGGCCATGTGGAAGGCCGGCCACACCCTCATCAAGGCCCTGTTCCCCGAGGGGAACCCCGCCAAGATCAACCTGAAGAGGCCCCCGACAGCCGGCTCGCAGTTCAAGGCGTCCGTGGCCACGCTGATGAGAAACCTGCAGACCAAGAACCCCAACTACATCCGGTACTTCTGGCCCCAAACTTTCTGACGGTTCACGGGGGGAGGCCGCTCCAGGAAGAGTCCTGTCCTGTTGCTTCAGCCTCAGGGTAGCCCACACCAAGGGCGACAAGCACACTTACAGATCAGATAACACAGTGTCTTAAGTTTGCTTAAAAAATGCCCCACTGCCCCTTCCTCCCCCCAAATCAGGGATTGAAAACAGAGGTGGGAGGTCGGCATAGATATTTAATGAAATTGGGTTGTTGGCACAGGCGGGTCCCAGCTTTCTGTATTTTTTTAGTAAGTTATTTAAGTATATTGAATAGGATATGTTCTTAGTTTTAATAAGATGAGCAATATGTAAATTTCTGTAAGGGTTCTGCGTAGAAACTGGATCACTTTGGGCTTGTTTTATATTAACTCGGAGCGTTGGAGCGAGGGGGCCTTAGTGAGGCTCTGGTTTTCAGGAATATGTGCCTCCTTCTCTCTGTGAGACTGCCCGGCGGGAAGAGCAGTTCTTTCTAAACCGCCAGGGTTTTCTCAGAGCAACAGAGGCACCGCGGAGAAGGCCTCTGGGTTCTCCTCTCTGCGTCTCGGGCCTCTTAGGTCTCCGGCCCCGGGAAGACGGCGAGGCGCAGAGCCGCTCTCTGTGTCTCTGGGGAGCGAGAGACTAGGTGTGTGCGTCGGGTCAGGTTCCATCCGCACACGCACGCCCACGCGCCTTCTATAGCCTGAAAATCCAGTTGCCAGGAGACAGAGTGAGGAACGTTTTTGTGTCTGGCTTGTTTACCTAATATTATCTTAGCAACATCTAAGCAGGCAAAATCCCCTGGTTTGATTGCAGTCGGGTTAGAACATACTAATTAGAAAAATCCTGGTTTCATAAGAAGATAACCAGGAACCTTATGATTAGTTTCTTCTCTGGTTTTTTCTTTTCAATGCATAGCTGTCATCTATTGGTGCCCTATTAAAAAGGAAGGAAGTACAAGGACATAGAGACACCGTGTTGCTTTCTTTTAAATATGTTATTTTTATTGATATTTAGAGAGAGAGAGGAAGGGAGTGGGATAGAGAGATGGGGACATTGATCGGCTGCCTACTGCGCACCCCGTACTGGGGATCGAGCCCCCAAACCGGGCATGTTCGCTGGCCGGGAATTGAACCCGTGACCTCTTGGTTCAGGGGTCGATGCTCAACCACTGAGCCACACCGGCCCGGCATGACACCGTGTTTTTAATCTTTTCATTGAGATATATACATAATAAAATATGGCCAAGCACATGAGTGTTCAGCGTGTTGAGGTTTCACATAATGTGTACACCTGTGTGACCGATTCAGACCAAGAGACAAAACATTTCCCTTACCCAGAAGGCCCCTGTGCCCTTCCCTGTCCCTCCCCTCGCACCCCTCCCAGGAGGTGGCAGCAGGACTGATTTCTCACCGGAAGTTCTGCCGAGTGTCACGTAAAGGGAACCATGAAGTGTGTCCTCTATGTCCGACTTCTTGCACTGGGCGAAAGGGCAGTGGGACTCATCAGGTTATTGTGGGAGTGGGAGAGAGAGACAGACACATTCATGATGAGAGAGAATCACTGATCGGCTGCCTCCTGCACGCCTCACACTGGGGATCGAGCCTGCAACCCGGGCATGTGCCCTGACTGGGAATCGAACCCGGGACCCTTCAGTCCGTAGGCTGACAACCTATCCACTGAGCAAAACCAGCCCGGGGCAGGATTTATTTTTTTATTGCCGTGTAGGTAGCGTCTTAATTTTTAGGCTTATGGAAAATGATTTGAAGTAATTTCAGAAGAAATGATCAGGTTCCCAGGAGTGATAAGTAATGGTCTCTTCCCTTGTGAAACCCAGACGGATGATATCCCTGGAGACAGCTTAACGTCTCGGTTCCCTTTCAGGTGCATCAAACCCAATGACAAGAAAGCAGCCCACATCTTCAGCGAGGCCCTGGTGTGCCACCAGATCCGCTACCTGGGCCTCCTGGAGAACGTGCGCGTGCGCAGGGCCGGCTACGCCTTCAGGCAGGCCTACGAGCCGTGCCTGGAGCGGTACAAGATGCTGTGCAAGCAGACGTGGCCTCACTGGAGGGGGCCGGCCAGGTGAGCGTTCGCTGGCCGCGCTTAGTCACGCAGTCCGAGAGCACACGGGCCACCCGTGTGATTCACGTGCTCCCGGGCAGAACAAGTGCATGAAACACTGGGTGGGACCTCTTCTTTGTCCCCTCTTCCACCCGGGATCATTCTGTGCTGATCCGTAGTTAGTGACAGAAGTCTCAGTTTTCTTTAAGGTCCGAACAGGGCTTACAGATCCACATTGGCCACTTGCCTGTCGGTAGGGCGTTAACGTGTGCCGTGGTAAGTCAGGAGGGTCCATAATCGATCGGTGCGTTTGTGTGGAATCGTGGAAGGGTATAGTTGGACAGGCATGTTGGATCACTGCTCTCAGCCCCGCCCCCCGGAGTGGGGGGGATTAACCCCAGAGAGAGTCAGGGGGTGAGGGTCCCACTTTTTACCCAGGTCTGCACCCCTTGGGAGCAGCTAGAGTCCAAGGTGTCAGTGTCTCTGCTGGCAGAGCCAGATGGGAGGCTATGGGAGAGCGGGGGCCACCTTCAGAGGCGTATACATAATAAAATGTAGGTACGCCTCCCCGGCCCTGGCTGGCACTCGCCCATCTAGTCTCAGATGGAGCCTGGGCCACTGCAGGCCGCTCCCTGGGGCAGCCTCCAGCGCTCTCCATGTGCTGGTGACCTTGCCTGTGAGCAACCTTCCTCTGCTTTTCCCAGTCAGTGAAGTCACCCCTTTTCTTCTATTGTTTTCTGTATGTTTTATTAATTTCAGAGAGGAAGGGAGGGGGAGAGAGAGAAACATCAATGATGAGAGAGAACCATCAATTGGCTGCCTTCTGCACACCCCCTACTGGGGATCGAGCCCACAACCCGCGTGTGCCCTGACTGGGAATCCAGCTGTGACCTCCTGGTGCATAGGTCGATGCTCACCACTGAGCCACGCCAGGCGGGCTGCCCTTTTCTGCGGGTCGTAGAAACTCCCGACCGCTCCAGGAAGCCGCGTGCCTGCTCCACGGCCTCGGCAGGACGCGGGGACTGTCCTTTCGCTGTGCCGGTGTCACCGGTGCACGTCCCTGGGCCTGGCCTCGCACGGGCACCCCGGCAGCATCAGACACCCCCCCGCATCCCGGGAAGATAAACTCCAGGCGCGGGGTGTGGTCTCCGATGGGTAACCGAACGCCCGAGTAACGTGTGACCCGGTGTTGGTTCAGTTCTCAGGACTGACCTCCGGATGTCACGGTCAGTGTGCACCATGACACACAGGCCAGGTGTCTGACCGCTGCCTGGTGCTCGGCCCGCAGGTTGTGGGTGTTTAGTTGTAAAGACTGATGTGGAAGCCGGGGTCCAGGACAGAGAGGTCAGCCACGTCCAGGCCTTGCTCCCGCCCTGTGAGGCCCGGGTCCCATGCAGCCCATCGTCTGGCCCTTAGCACTCTCTCTCGGGCCTTGTCCACACCCTGATGGGCAGAAGCGATGTTTAAAATGTTCTTAAGACTCGACGGAGTGAGTTAAAAATAGATCTGAGCCTCTCACACACCCTCCTGGCCTGGTGGGTCCATCGCTGTGGGTGTATTGGATACAAGTGTTGCTTCTGCGAATGAAATCGAGACATTGGCCATCGTACCTCATTTTCTTGGAATATGGAGTTCTGAACCCAATTTTGCTCTGTCAGCATCTCCTGGACTTGGTTTAATTTGTGGAGCTCCGTCTTGATTCTTCGATAGAAGGACACTCCCTGAAAGAGCGATTGTACTACTTGGGAATGAAACTACTGTTTGGTGCCACTGGGGATCTGATAGCATGATTTCAGATCAGATAAACTGTGTCTGTAACTCAGAACACTCACTGTTTTATTGTTTTCTAGGGCTGGTGTGGAGGTCCTGTTTAATGAATTGGAGATTCCTGTGGAAGAATATTCCTTCGGTCGATCGAAGATATTCATCCGGAACCCGAGAACGGTATGCAGCCGAAACCTTTCCATTCCGAACGTACGTCCTGATCACATAGACGGGTCCTCAAAGTCTGTTTCACTTGGGGACCCGAGAAGCTGCCCAGAACGCCCCATCCTCGTTTTATCTCGAATGCCCAAGAGGATGGGCACGTGAGGGGTCATGGCAGAACCTGTGTGTTTCTTATGAGACATCCATGTCTTTGATCGGACAGGCTGTCCAAGAGAGAAGTCATAAAGAACCTGTTGTTTCTTATGAGACATCCAATCCATGTCTTTGATCAGATCGGCTGTCCAAGAGAGAAGTCATAAAGAACCTGTTCATGCAATGACAAAACCTGGCTAATTCATAGGAATTGGAGATCAACTCAGTCTGCATTGTTTCCTAATTTAGGGGAAGACCACCCTATTATTTAGAAGTCCATGAAGGCACTTGAAATTTTTTTTTTAAGTTAAAAAGAACATTTGAAATTCTACTTGGTAGGGCTCTAAGGGAGTGTTTTTATGAATGAGTAGACTGGGATGAAGCGCAGTCGGTGTAACAGTTGATTGGCGATTTGGAAATTTGGAGAATTTGGAAAGGGTTGCAGTTGTTTACGAGAAACGTTGCCAGCTCCTTTCTTTGATTGATAAACGCACCCTCAGGACGGTGTGCAGGCAACCCCGAGCTGAGCTCAGCCCTCTGGTTCGTCGGAAGTGCCGAGCCACCAGAACCTACATGGCGGATGCTGTGTGAATCGCCAGAATGGTTTTCCCGTGGGCTGTGGCCCGTGGTGTCTGTCACGGAGACGGTCATCCCTGTTTTTTCTCAGTGCGTGGCCTCCACCAGCGTGCCCTCTGACCTCCCGATGCCACGAGTGTGGCTGGATGAGTGATCGACCCATCTCTCCATCTCTCCTTTCTCCTCAGCTCTTCAAGCTGGAGGACCTGCGGAAGCAGCGGCTGGAGGACCTGGCCACGCTCATCCAGAAGATCT